GCCTCGAACTCACAGAGATCTTCTTGCCTCAGCCTCCTGAGTGTTGGCATGTACCACCACCACCCAGCTTAAGCATCTTTTAAGTGTGTATGAGTGTTTTGCCTGAATATAAATCTGTGGGCCATGTGCCTTTGGAGGCCAGAAGGACACACGTCCCTTGCGACTGGAGTCACAGATGGTTGTAAGCCACCATGTACAAGCTAGGGTTCAAACTGCTGAGACATCTCTCTAACCCCAGTAAAAATAAATCTTAACCAGCTGGGCAGTGGTGGTACACACCTTTAATCCCAGCACTCAGGAGCCAGAGACAGGAGGATCTCTGTGAGTTCAAGGCCAGCCTGGTGTACTTAGTGAGTTCCAGAACAGCTAGGGTTGTTCCACAGAGAGACCCTATCTCGATCCCACTCCAGAGAAAAGAACGCTTACTGCTAGTCCCTAGGATGGTTGTTCATGTCTCCTAACTCTAACGCCAGCTCCAGGGGTTCAGACATCCTTTTCTGGCCTCTGTGGTATCCATGTACACACACACACACACACACACACACACACATTTTTCTTTTTTTCTTTTTTTTTAAATATTTATTTATTATGTATACAATATTCTGTCTGTATGTATGCCTGCAGGCCAGAAGAGAGCGCCAGACCCCATTACACATGGCTGTGAGCCACCATGTGGTTGCTGGGAATTGAACTCAGGACCTTGGGAAGAGCAGGCAGCACTCTTAACCACTGAACCATCTCTCCAGCCCCCCCCCCCACGTTTTTAAACAGTGAAAATTTATTACTTAAATATGCTCATTTTCTTTATTAATATTAGCAAACATGGGACCTGTTGGATGGCTTTTTTTGTTTTTATTTTTGAGACAGGGTTTCTCTATGTAACCCTGGCTGTCCTGGAACTTTCTTTGTAGACCACGCTAACCTGGAACTTACAGAGCTCCATCTGCCTCTGCCTCCTGAGTGCTGGGACTCAAGGCATGCACCACTACCATCTTGCTTGTCAACTTTCATTAGTGAATCTGTATTTAACAAACGTCAACTAATATTTGTTTATTGTAATTTAGAGAAGCCAATAAGTTAGATACCTCTCATTTATATGCAGTAAATTTTAAGATACGATACATTAAAGTCCAATTTTTTTTTTTTTGGTTTTTTCGAGACAGGGTTTCTCTGTGGTTTTGGAGCCTGTCCTGGAACTAGCTCTTGTAGACCAGGCTGGTCTCGAACTCACAGAGATCCGCCTGCCTCTGCCTCCCGAGTGCTGGGATTAAAGGCGTGCGCCACCAGAGCCCAGCAAGTCCAATTTCAAATATGAAAAGGAAGCTGGCATCCAGTGGTATACACCTTTCATAACAGTTCTCAACCACACAGTAAGTTTAAGGCCAGCCTGGGCTACTCAAGACCCTTTCTGTAAAATCTGGAGAACCCAGTGTGGTGGTGTACATCTTTGATCTCAGTACTTGGACACAGAGGCAGGAGGATCTCTGTGAGTTCGAGGCCATCCTAGTCCAGGACTGCACACTGAGACCATATCTGGGGCGGGACATTCTGTTCCAGCCCCTCTCATCCTCAGAGGTGCTTTCTTTTCCTTACTAAATCCATTTTCATTATGCTAAAAATTAAATTGAATTTAAAAAAACTGGGAAGGGTTATAGCACAATGGTAACTCCTCCATGAGCTTTCGCAGGCCCTAGAGTCAGTCCCTGGTGCCACCAAATCAATAAGTACAGTTCAAAGCTTTGGTTTTTTAATATCTGAAGAAGTGTGCAAACTACTGCTTAATTTTAGAATATTTTTATTTTTTTATTTTTTATTTTTTTTGCTTTTCGAGACAGGGTTTCTCTGTGGCTTTGGAGCCTGTCCTGGAACTAGCTCTTGTAGACCAGGTTGGTCTCGAACTCACAGAGATCCGCCTGCCTCTGCCTCCCGAGTGCTGGGATTAAAGGCGTGCGCCACCACCGCCCGGCGAGAATATTTTTCATAACCCCCCAAAAGATTCTTCCTGCCTCTTCCCCTCCTTCATAATCATTCCACTCCCCATCTCCCCAAATTCCTCAGCATTAGGCAACCACTAATAAATATATTTTGTTTCTGTGGACTGTGTGTGAGATCAAATTTTGGTCCTTATTCCTGTCACTACCGGAGTAATATTGCTAGTTCCAAACCTCACCTCACCTCATGTAAGAACTATCCCAGTTCTTTCATGTTGTAACATAGTACCCAGGAGCTCCTTTCTTTTCCAGTACTGGAATGGGGTTCTAAAATCGTTTTTTTTTTTTTTTTTTGTTTTTTGTTTTTTGTTTTTCGAGACAGGGTTTCTCTGTGGTTTTGGAGCCTGTCCTGGAACTAGCTCTTGTAGACCAGGCTGGTCTCGAACTCACAGAGTTCTGCCTCCCGAGTGCTGGGATTAAAGGCATGTGCCATCATCACTCGGTCAGTTTTTATTTTTCCCTGGAACTAGAGTTATAGACAGTTGTGAGCTGCCATGTGGGTGCTGACAATTGAATCCAGGTCCTCAGGAAGAACAGTCAGTGCTCTTAACCACTGAAACATTTCTCCAGCCAGAGTTTTTAATTTTTTAAAGATAGGATCTTACTATGTAGCCCCCACCCTAGTCTTGAACTGTGACTCACCTTAATTCCTCAGGACTGGGATTACACAGAAAAAGGCAGGAAATTCAGGAAATTGACTGAAAGATTTCAGGTGAAGAGTCTACTGTGCTATACTAATGTAATCATTCAACCTAGTGTGGCCGTTGATACTCATTACTGGTTGTAAGCATCCTGGTGAGCTGGAAGTTAAGAAGATATTAATAGTCTTATTTAGTGGGAAGTGATTAAGAAAAGTGATTAGGAAAAGGAGAGGAACATGACTGGGCCTACTGTGGTGGCGAAGGTTTATTATAGACATTGTGGGAGAATATGGCCAGACCAGGGGCATCTGGGAGAGTCCAGAGTGATGGGAGCAGAGTGAGCTGTGCTGGTGAGAGGAGAGGGGGTATGGAGAGGAGAGGTGGAACCAGGTGCAGCAGCCAGGAGGCCCAAAAGAGAGTAGCTGTAAAGGATCAGGTAACAAAAAAAAAAAAAAAAAAAAAAAAAAAAAAGGAAGGGCAGCCCAGAGCTGGGCTTGAGAAGTTTAGGGTAGGGGGTGGGGTATGTCACCCAGGAGGGCCCTTAGGGACTGAGGGATACAGGGAGAACCTGGAACTACCTTGGTATGTTAAATAGGTTCCTCAGCCATTTGTCCCAGGTTTGAAATCCAATAAGAAGGAAATTGTAAGTTTGAAGCGATTTCTAGAAACTACAAGACAAAAACTAATTAAAAGTCAGGGTTCCTAGATCAGATTTTTATTTTGATGTTTTTGAGACAGGGTCTTGATATGCAAGACCATGGACGACAGCCTGGGACTGTGGAGACTGCACTGGCCTCCAACCTTCCTTGTAAGTGCTGGAAGTAGTGTCACGTGCGTGTCACTGTGCCTGGGCCTAGACCAGATCTTTGCTTCCTTCACAGTCTTGTTATCCACCACGCCAAGTGATCTGTCAGTCATGCAGGGGGTGCTGGAAACCGGGGCTAGAGCAGAGAATGTCTCAGGAAAAACACAGGGTTGCTCTTTTTCTCTGCTTGTTTTGAGAAAGTCTCGCGGAGCAGCAGTGGCTACCTTGGCCCTTGCTGTGTTGCAGACCAGGTTGGCCTCGAAGGCGCTGAGATCCACCAGCCTCTGGGGTTTAAGGGTGTGCACCACCAACCCAGGCCAGCATTGCTAGCATTCTCCCAGGAAGGCGAAGGGTGAGATTCTGATAGCCTGATTTTTATCTTCTTGGTCTTCAGGGACTGTCAAAGCAATTTAACATTTTAGTTTTTAGTTCTCCTTTAAGTCTCCCAAATTTACACATCACAGGGATCATAAACTTCCATGACCCGCTTTATATGCTGCTGTCTTTAAACCTCAAGTCTCCTGCCTCAACCTCCCAACTATCCGGCACTACGGGTCTGTGCCATTTGGGCCAGAGCCACTCTTCTCACGTGGAGTTTGATTTCTGAGGAATCGCTAGGCGTTTCTTTTGGAAACCTCAAGACCACTTGCGATGACGAACAGGAACGCTGTGTAATTCTCTTTATTTAGGATTTAGAATGGAAAAGCTTCTGTAAGTGCCATAGGGACCAACACTAATCAGGGCTTGAACAAGATGGTGGCCGGAAGCCGGGCGGTGGTGGCGCACGCCTTTAATCCCAGCACTCGGGAGGCAGAGGCAGGCGGATCTTTGTGAGTTCGAGACCAGCCTGGTCTACAGAGCTAGTTCCAGGATAGGCTCCAAAAACCACAGAGAAACCCTGTCTCGAAAAACCAAAAAAAAAAAAAAAAAGATGGTGTCCGGTACCAGAGAGATCTGTCTTTCGAAAGCAACTCCAGCAAAGTAGTAGTAAAAGCTTAGGGAGGCCGATACGGTAGCAATCCGACCATAAACGTGAGCGGAAGAGTCTCCCACGGAAAGCAGTCTCGTTCGGTTCGGCAGAGAGCAGCCCACCTCACTGGGCAAGTTCTCTGAAACGTGTTTGTGAGTCGACTCCTCTCCGGTTAGAGCCGAGGTGAGGCGCCGCGCCTGCTCCGACGCATGCGCCCTAGACCGGACAAGTGGCGTGGTCTTTCAACACCCAGCGTACGGACGACGTCTGAGGTGGAAGGGGCGTTTAGGGTTCCCAACACGCATGCGTCGAGACCCAGGCGTTTCCTTCGGAGGGTGTGGAGTGCGGGGTCTGTATTGCGCAGCTGCAAGGGCGGTCCGGTAGCGCGAGCTGTCGATCAAGGGGAGGGAAGAGGAGGGTGAAGGGATTAAAAAAAAAAAAAAAAAGAAAAAGAAAAAAAAAACCCGGTGCGCCTGCGCATTGCCATCTGGTTGGAAGGGCTTCGGACTGGAAAGGGGCGGGGTCACGTATGCGCGTCATTGGATGGGTAGGTGGGAGAGAGGGTGGAGATCGGGGAGGGTCCGTGCGCCTGCGCAGTGCGGGGGTGGAAAGTGAAGGAGCTACCCAGCACGCTTGCGCGGCTGTCATAGGGCTGCTTGGTTGGTCAGTGGGGAGTCGGCGCCTGCGTACTAAGACCCGTGTGCAGCAGCGGCGGCGGCGCTAGAGGCGGCGGCGGCGGCGGCGGCAGCAGCGGGTTCGGAGGCAGCGGTTGGGCTCGCGGCGAGCGGACGGGGTCGAGTCAGTGCGTTCGCGCGAGGTAAGAGCGGGCAGGGCGCGCCTGCGCGTAAGCTCGGTTTAAGCCGAGAACGAGAGACGGAACTACGCGGGGGTCGGGGAGGGGGGCAGAAGGGAGCGGCGGCTATCGCCGCACGGGCTCGGGCAGGGAGCGGCGCGATGCGCGGAGAGGCGGGCGCACGGCCCAGTTGGCGCGAGGGGTGACGGTTGGGGCCGGCAGGGTGACGTTGGAGCGACGCAGGGCGGGGGACGGCGAGCCGCGAGGCCGCCACGCGGGAGAGGCCGCCAGGCGGCCACGCCGGGGCGAGGGCCGGGGGCCAGGTCGGCCCGGCCGGGCCAAGGGTTCCTGGGCCGTTGAGGACCAGCGCTGAGCGGCCACGTGAGGTGGGGGAGGGGGCTGCTCGGTGAGGGCATGTGGAGAGGGTTGGCGGCCGGCGGGGGGAGGGGAGACGGCATGGCCCTGGCCTGGCGCAGCTTTGGGGCAGGGGCGGCCGCTGCACCGGAAGTGTTCCCCATTGGAGGCTGCCCCCGGGGTCCGTGACCATGCGGCTGAACATGGACCGGGGCCGCATGGCAGCACGGGGACCCCTCCCCCCTGGCCCGGGCCACCGGAAGCCTCGGGCGACCACATGGTGGGCGCGAGCCGGCAACCCCCAGCGCAGAGAGGTCTGATCTTTTTGGGTTTCTACGGAGCCTGGGATTTTGGTGTGCGGGAGAGACCCTAGCCTTGGGTCTCGATCATCCCGCAGGGCCCGTTGCAGGCATATGTTAGTGCTCCCCAGCCTCATGGGCCTCTGGAGCTCATCCCCCAGTCTTCATGTGAAGTGAGCCGTCCAGCCAGATGTAAGTGGTACTACTTTTCTGGGGAAACCGGGAAAACTGGGTGAATTGAGGGTCATTGGATTGAAGCCCAACTCTTCTCGGCCCATGCCGACAGCGCCTGAAAGTACTAAGCTTTTAGTTCCCCCGCGGTGATCTTCGATCTTCACCTTGCCACTGCCTTCCCTCTTATTTGGTTTGTGAGTTACTGTGTTTAGTCCTTAACTCTAGCAGCCTAGTCTGATCTCTGTTACTACTACCAACCTTTTGCTTTCATTTTATTGTCATTCACCTCCCCTCACTCCCCCACTCTCTACTGACTGTACAGGCTGGGCCTGAAAAGCCGACAGGACTGGTGCATCCTGGGAAAAGTGGGAGGGCCATTGACAAAAGGCTGAGTTCCCCTCGGGAACTGAGATCGAAGTGCTTGGCAGTGGGATCATTTAGGAAACTACTTTCTCCCCCCTTGACTGCATCTACAAGTGCATGTTGGAGAGGCGGGAATCCCCCAAAGAGGCCTTGTGGTTTCCTGTACCAATGACTGGCTTGTGTGTGGATAGGGTGTGGGGGGGGGGGTGTAACAGCTGGGTGGGGCCTTGTCCTCCGTCTCCACCCCTTCATTAGCCCCGCCCTTCAGCTGGCTCAGAGCTGCTCACCTAATTATAGTGCTGGCAGAGTGTGGGGAAGAGGGGGTGGTTGGTTTCAGTGGCAAGTAACACCTGAGTCCTGCCCCCTCCCGGGAAGTAGCCCTTTCCTCATCTCTGGGATTTGGCGTCCGAACTCCCAGGAACCTTCCTTTCCCAAACCACATTTTTAGATTTCATTTGGGGAGGGGGTCGGGGATCCAGCTGTTTCCCCCCTCCCATACACCAACTCTTCAGTATGTTTGAGTCCAGTTCAAAGCAGGGAGTTCGACTTTATTTAGATGGGTAATGGAATAAAGGGGGAATGGAGCAATGTTTTAGAGAGGAATGGGATAGATTAGCGGTCCTGGTAACCTCCATCCTTACTGACCCTAGTTCTCTTCTTGGCTTTAGTTGGAATCGAAGCCTCTTAAAATGGCAGATGACTTGGACTTCGAGACAGGAGATGCAGGGGCCTCAGCCACCTTCCCCATGCAGTGCTCAGCATTACGTAAGAATGGTTTTGTGGTGCTCAAAGGCCGGCCATGTAAGATCGTCGAGATGTCTACATCGAAGACCGGCAAGCATGGCCATGCCAAGGTTAGAATAACTTCTCTACATCCTGTCTTCTCTGCAGCTCCCACATCCATAGGGCTCTGGGTAAAGAACTGTTGCAGTCTTGGTCCCTTCACTGTTCTAGTCCTTTCGTTCAGAACCCAGGTTTTATTGCCATCCAACAGTGTCTTCCACAGTGCTCCTGTCATTCTGTCCTTTTCTCCCTCTTTGTGCTACTCTCTAGCCTAGAACTGTGTGTATCCACAGTCCTTTAGCTTGGCACATTCAATTTCTTCTTTTTCCTTGGGCCTGTTGTCCAAGATTTCTCCAGTCGAGACCCATGTAGGGCAGTGTTCTGTGGGGCTCCAGTCTGCATTCTCAAGCCGCCTGGCAGCTGCTGCTCCTCCCATTTGTGAACTTCCCTTTGGCAGTTACCTGCTTCTGATTACCACTGAATTCTTTGTTCTCCATCTTACTTCAGTCTTCACATTCTCTTCACCTAGACATGCTGTGTCTTAAGCTGACCCTAACTCAATCCTGTTGAGTCTGGTTTTATTCGCTAGTGAGTCCCCTGTTGCGGATTGGGCATTTAGGACCAGGCTATTCTTTCATACTAACTTCATACATGGTTCATTCTGATCTTTTCTCCTGGGTCATTTTCTTCAGGTTACTTACCTTCCTTTGCTTTCATTTCTCAGCCTGCTCTACTTATTTAGTTCCTTCTGTAAATGTCCAAGAAACATTTACCTAGATACCCCCCCGCCCCCATACAATAAAACAGCATCTTATGAATTCTAGAGTGGCCTCTACCCCCCTAGTGCTGGGATTACAGGCACATGCCATTATGATTGGTGTTTTTTTTTTTAATGTGGTACTAGGCATCCGACTCAAGGAAGGCCCTGTGCTTGCTGGGCAAGTACTGTATAAGTGACATCTCCAGTCTTTGTCAATGATTTTTGATAACTTTCATGTCACTGGTTTAACAGGTTTTTTTTTTTTGTCATCTCCAGTCTCAGTAGTAGTACTCTTTAGCTTCAGACTTTAAGGATTTGCTTGTCTTTCTCAATTGGCTCATTTCTAGTTCCTTAGTTTTTGCTGTAACATGGCAGGCTGACTTGTCACCAGCCAGTAATAAAAGCCTTTATCTTTATCTTAGAGTTTGATTTGTTTGGGTTTCTCTTTATGATATATGTACACAGGTCCACCTGGTTGGTATTGACATTTTTACTGGGAAGAAATATGAAGATATCTGCCCGTCAACTCACAATATGGATGTCCCCAACATCAAAAGGAATGATTTCCAGGTATGTTTTTGGGATGAAGATGGTTAGTGGCTCATGAAGGGTGGGGATGTGTGCTGACCCGCAGCTGTGGGGAAAAGGGAGCTGGTAGGAGGAGGATACTTAGGGAAGCTGCTGTCACTCTAGTTTGTCTGTCATTCTCTTTATACTTAACCTACCTGTACCTGCTTTTAATTTCCTTCTCCCAGCTGATTGGCATCCAGGATGGGTACCTATCCCTGCTCCAGGACAGCGGGGAGGTACGAGAGGACCTTCGTCTGCCTGAGGGAGACCTTGGCAAGGAGATTGAGCAGAAGTATGACTGTGGAGAAGAGATCCTGGTATGATGCCCCCCCCCTCGCCTGATATACTCAGCTTTGCTCCTTATGCTTCAGAACTCTGGAGTTGAGGCATCTCTGGACTGTCCTTTTTGCTTTTCCAGATCACGGTGCTGTCTGCCATGACAGAGGAGGCAGCTGTTGCAATCAAGGCCATGGCAAAATAACTGGCTTCCAGGTGAGTGTGACAGCGTTCACTATCCTTCATACTGTTGTCCTCATCGGTTTTATGGGCCTTCTTTCTGCTCTTAGACTGGTCCTTCCTCCCTTACCCTTTCTTGAAATTGTCTTTAAACATGATTTCTTTTTCTTGCCCAGGGTGGCGGTGGTGGCAGCAGTGATCCTTGAGCCTACAGAGGCCCTTCCCCCAGCTGGGTTCTGCTCTGGCTGGGCCCTTGGCTGGACTCCTATACAATTTATTTGACGTTTTATTTTGGTTTTCCTCACCCCTTCAAACTGTCGGGGAGACCCTGCCCTTCACCTAGCTCCCTTGGCCAGGAATGAGGGAGCCATGGCCTTGGTGAAGCTACCTGCCTCTTCCCTCACAGCCCTGGTGGGGGAAAGGGGGAAAGGTATTGCTTGTGGTTTAGGTCCCCCCACCTCCCTTATTTTCTTTTTAATTCAATTTGGAATCAGAAAGCTGTGGATTCTGGCAAATGGTCTTGTGTCCTTTATCCCACTTATCTCCTTTATCCCCTGCTCTCCATAGTCCTTCACCCCAAGCACCACTTGTACAGACTGGGGACCAGCCCCCTCCCCTGCCTGTGTCTCTTCCCCAAGCCCCTTTAGGGGTAAAGAGAAGAGTGTGGGGGGGAGCAGACATGATCCCTCCTCAGGCATCTGGGAGGGCCTTGCCCCCTTGGGCTTCACCCTTTCCTGCGGTTCTCCCTGACACATTTGTTAAAAATCAAACCTGAATAAAACAAGTTTAATATGAAGCCCCCAACTCAGTGTTTATTTGTTGATTGAAAGATGCAATCCGTCATCCCCTTAAGTAGCCTGGGTGGGAAGCAAACAAACAGTAGTCGGGGTGGTGGTAGTGGGTACATTTTATTGGTTTGGGGCACACAGGAAGAACCCCCACCTTGAGGAATGGAGGGTAGGTAGGAGTTATCTGGTGGTTACTTGTGGTAGAATCGTGGGTTCTGGCTGTGTTGGATGAAAGGGAGTCGAGGGCCAGGTTGGCTGGTAGTAGCAAAGCCTGACTGGTGATAAAAGTTTTTATCAGTGGGTAGATAATTTCTTCCACTTAACACTCAGTACAAGGAGGAAGTGACAATTGCAGTAGGTTAGCAGTCTTTCCCTGGTAGTATCAGATTTTTGGTTACCAGCCTTACCTTTCCTGCTGCTTGCATCTGCACAGGGAGCTGGGGGGAAGCCAGGAGTCCAGGGGCTGGATGCAGAGCTTGGGGATGCATGGGCCGCAGAGAAGACTGTAAGGACAAAGCTGATCTTAGGCATACTGGAGTTCCCCTTGTCCTAGCACCTTGACTTCCCAAGGCTCCATACTCACTGAGTCAGAGAAGCTAGTTTGCTGATTTGCATGTTCCATCTGCTTTTGCAAAGACAGGGCACCAGCAGGCTGCAGGAACCCTAAGGGAAGAAGGGGGGGGGGGGGTTGAACTGAACAGGTAATGATAGGACTCAAGAGGTTAGGCCTTCTCCCCAATGGGTTATCACCTGTCTGAGTGGGCTGAAAGTGGCCATGCACTGCATAGGGCTGTGGCTGTGGCTGAGACAGGTACTGCACAGCAGGAAATGCTGACGGTGCTGAGGAAGGTAGACATCCATTAGTTCTCATGTTGAGCTGTTCTTCCCTCTGCTCTGAGGAGAATCAACACTCACCTCTGAGCTGCTGGCTCGGACTATAGGCTGGTTGTGTAGGCCCATAGTGAGGTGGGGGCTGAGCAGTTCCATAGGCTCCTCCTGGGCTGCCTTGGAATTGCCCATGTTCTGGGGTCCCTGCAAAAGCAGCTGCTGATCCCACATAATGCCGGGTCTAAGAAGGAAAACAAAAAACTACTTAGCTCCTACTTATTAGAGGTTTGGCATGTTTGTACTTTAGTAATGGAGAAAGCAACCGGGGCTACACATCCAAACCCTAGTTCTCAAGCTGGGCTTGATGACAGATCCATAGAAGGTGGAGGAGACATGGCGACAGGATGACATGGCAGGGCCATTTTTGGCTACACAGTGACTTGAAAGCCAGCCTGAGCTTACAAGACTTCTCACCGTAAGCACTTGGGGTCCAAACATCTGCTTGGCTCTGTCAGCTGCCATGAGAGTACCTGGGCGATTGTGTCCTCCGGGGCTCCCTAGAAAGGGAGAGGGGCTTCATGATGCTGAATTAGGAGGCTGCAACCTCCAGGAGAGCCCATTCTTTTGGGTGGTTTCTCTAGTCCTCACCCTGCATGCTGAGGAGGTGCGTTCCCGTGTGAACTGTCAGGCTCTGCTGGTATGCAGCTGATGTCAGAGTGGTCAGGTCACTGGAGGAAAGGAAGACAGTTAAGTAGCCCTCCTTTGTCGCCTGGCCCACCGCAAAATGTTAGTTTTAGCTATCTGACCACACCTCTGTTCCTTTCGTCTCCGTTTTTCTTCCTCATGCAAAACTTTTTTGAGCTGCAAGAAAAGTTGGTGCTTCTCCTCCTGTAGAGCCGAGAGCTTCTCCTGCAGCTTCAAAATCTGCAAGAAGGATGAGCGGATAAGGGGGGAAAGGGAAGAGAAGAAACCAGAACTGGGAGTGATGAGGGGTTACTCACTTGTTCCTTGGTCTCTTCTAGTGACATTCTCTCTTCCATCTCCTTTTTCTTTCTTCTCTCCTGCTCTTCTTTCATCTTCTGTTCCATCATCTTGTCCACCTCTTCCTCCTCTGAAGAATCAGACAGAACGGGGAAGTGGCAGGACAGTGAAAATAAGCTGAGTGTTAGACTGGAGACCAGCAAAAACCAGTTATTCCATCAGCCATAAGGAGAACGAGGCTTCATTAGGTGCTCTCCAAGGTCCTTCCCAGCCCAGGGTTCTGGAGCTTAGACGGGGCCTCTTCGCTCACACCCTGAAGGAGCCGCGGCCTCCCTCTTAGCCTCGCCAGCAGGCGCACAGCTTGGCCCGTGGATGGGGGCAAGTTCGTGGGTAGCAGAGCCACCCTGGGCCGTGTGTCTGTCCTCCCGCTCTGGCCCTGGCTCACCCTGCCGTTTGCGCTCCCGCTCCATCATGATGTGCCGGTGCAGAGCCCTGGCCATGGCGTTGGAAAGTTTGGGGCGCTCCAGTAGTGCAGGCATGGTGCTGTTGATGACGCTTGGGCAGTGGGCGCCCGGCTCTGCCACTGACTGCCAGACCTCAGGCGGGGCCTGCAGGGAAGTGGGAGCTTAGAGGGACTGCGACCCGCCGAGGCGGGAAGCCTGCCTATCCACCGCCCGCTTGCCGCTTCGGTCACGTGTCCCGGGCGCCGGTGTCCCTCCGGGTCTCAGCCTCAGTGCGCGTGAGGGGGTCCTAGGCTTCGCGCCCCCGCCCCGCCCCGCCCGTGCAGCCCTGGCGCCAACCCCCCTACCCGCCTTCTCGTCGCTTTCTCCGTGGCCTCCGGCGCGCCTTGATCCCTACATCACTTCCGGCGCCCAGGATAAATCCTTCCGGGTCATGACGGCAACTGGCTCAGCGGGTTAGACGAAAAGAAAGGCGGAAGCGCTTGAAGACGGGTACCGGGTTGTCCAAATTCCTTGCGGGTTTACAGAGGCCTGGGAAAAGCTAGCCTTTTGCCAAGAACCCCTGGAACTCTCCACCTCACGAGGCCGCGGAAGACAAAGGCAGAAGCTCTGAAGACAGTATTTATTGGCTCCTTAGAAATCAGTAACAACTGTACAGAGGGCTCGCAGCTTCCTTGGGCTGCCCTTCCTTCCCCACTCCCGCTCCATGGCACCCCTGGCCACGGAAAAAGCAGCTTTGTGTGGGCACAGAGACTCCTTTGGGATTCACAGTAACCAGAACAAAAACGGAAATAAATTAAGTGATATGGGGGAGGGTAATGGGGAGGGTAATAGGGAGTCATGTTCCCCAAGTCAGTGCATGAAGAGGGGACCCAGAACCTGGAGCTGGGCTCCCTACGAGCTCCCTCTCGGCAGAGGGAGTGTGCTGGGCCCTGAATGTCGAGATGTGCTTCACACCTGGCCTAAATCAACGCCTGTCTATGTGCTCCTCCTTCCAGGAAAGCACCTGGACATGCCGTCAGTCACTGGAATGAGGTGGAGGCAGTCATCATTCAAGAGTCCTGGGCTTGCTTGAGGCCCGGCTGTGCTTGTAGTAGTGGCATCTCACCCCTTATTCCACCCGTACCAGCAGGGCATAGAGGAGTGTGGCTCCTTTCTCCTTAGTGACCCACTCAAGTTCCGATGGGCTGAAGTGCTGGTCAGGAAGTTCTCTGAGGGCAGCAGAAGGAGGGCCAGGAGTGTAGGAGCCAGGACGCACACACACCTGAAAGGCCACCTGAGCCTGGTGTGTCCGCTGGGATTTTGGGTCCCGGAATCTGTTAGACAAGCAGAAACAGGAGGTGGGTAAGGCTTCTAAGCTCCCACAACCGATGAATGGCTTAGCACCAACTTGACTCTCCTCCCAAATCCTGCTCAGCAAACTCCTTCATGACCCTCTTCATGGGTGTGTTTACCCTGGGGTTCTATTTCGTGTTTGTTCTAGACACTCCAAGTGCTCTTCTCATCTACTTCACCCACGCTTTGGGGCAGAACAGCATCCCAGGTTAGCCTCAAACTCCCTATAAAGGTGGAGGTAACCTTAAAATCCTGATCCTTTGCGTCTGCCTCCTAGTGTTACGACTCCAGGTATGTGTTAAAACACAGTTTATGCAGTGCTAGGACATTCAAAAAGACTATGACACATATATAATCGAGGAATACCAGACATAAGTGATGAACTCTTCCAATCCCAGCACTCAGGATGTAGGTGGAGGCAGAAGGAGCAGGTGTCCAAGACCAGCTCAGATACATACATACCAAGCACAAGTTTGAGACCAGGTTGGGCTATTTTTCCCCCTGGTTTTCAAAACAAACAAACAAATAAGAAAACAAAACAAAACAAAAAACTGGGCAGTGGCAGTTAGTGTACACCTTTAATCCCAGCACTTGGGAGGCAGAGGCAGGAGGATATCTGGGAGTTCTAGGCCAACCTGGTCTACAAAACAGGTTCCAGGACAGCCAGAGCTGTTAGATGAAGAACCTTTCTCAGGAAAACAAAACAAAACAAAAAAGCACAAACAAACAAAAATAAACAATGAAGTGGTGATGGGTTACACCTTTAATCCCAGCTCTCAGGAGGCAGAGGCAAGTAGATCTCTGAGTTCGAGGCCAACCTGGTCATCAGACCGAGTTCCAGGACAGCCAGGGCTACACAGAGAAACCCTGTCTCAAAACAAAACAAACAAAATACACATGGGGTAAGGGGTGGGAGTGGGGAGGTAGGCTGTTGGAGAAATGGTTCAGTGTTTAAGAGCACAGGTTATTCTATAGAACCCTGGTTCAATTCCCAGCACCCACATGGCAGCTCACAACTGCCTGTAACTCCAGTTCCAGAGGACCTGATGCCTTCTCCTGGCCTCTGCAGGCACTGCACACACACGCTACACAGACTTACATGCAGGTAAAACGCCCATACACATAAAAAACTTTAAAACAAACAAACAAATAACCATTTGGGTGGTGGCTTTCATCCCAGCACACAGAAGGCAGAGGCAGGTGTGCTAGGGGAAGGCTCCCCCAGCTAAAGTGTTACGGGATGTCTGAGTTTGAGGCTAGCCTGGTCTACAAAGTGAAACCCTGTCTTAAATGAAACAAACAAGCAAACAAAAAGGATCTGGTTAAGGAGCAATTGTCACACCAGTGTGGGGAAAAGGGGTATAGAATCCCAAGTACCCAAAATCTTGGGGCCCCTTCTAAATCTGAGACCTCAGAGGTCTCCTCTCAAGTACTCACTGCACTTTGGAGGCCAGGGTCTCTGCCCCGGCATACTGAAGGGATGGCGAGAGCAGCACTGGAGGAGGCTGCTCCTCCCGGGGAGGTGCACAGTTCTCACCAGGCTCCTCAAAGCCCACCCCAGGCTCTCCCTTCAAGGGTCGGCAGCTCAGGATGGAGGTAGTACCTGTGGAGAGAGTCGGGTGAGGGCAGCCCTGTGATTCCTCCTAGTAGCCCTAGGCCCAGCCCACTCCACGATACCTGCTCCCAACTCCCCTCGGTCCAGCACCCTCCGTACAACTGCTACACTGCTTCCATGATATGCCATGTGCCACTTCTTTGTTAGTGTCCCAGCTTCTAGATGGGGATTCACCCTGAAAGGACAGATAAGACAGACAAGTCAAAGGTCAGTGGCTCCTCAAGATTGTCCCACACACAAGAAGTCCTATCACTTTTTTTCCCTGGGATTCTTCTTTCTCAGGGAAAAGAGCAAAGGGGAAAATCCATGCCTGTGACCCATAAGTACCTAAGATTGAACCTGCACCATCCAAAAGGCAGGGCATATTCCCGGGGAGGCTCTCCTCGGCGCCTGTGAGCCTCATCTCCTCGCAACTTCCGGCAAGATTCACAGTAGCATAAGCTACGCTTTGGTGGAGGCATGAAATAATCTTCTGTGGGACAATGAACAACAGGCTTGGTGCTCCTGTCCTGGCCTCAGCCACACCGTTGCTCTCCAGCTGGTATCCAGCCATGGGAACGAGGCTCTGAGGATTAGGACTCACCTGGAAGCAACAGTAGTTCCTGGAAGCGGGAGCAAAGGGCATGGTACTCGCAGCTCTTTAAAGGGCTAGCAGCAGGCGGTGGACCCCAGCACACACTTTCCTTTATGCCTGGAATAGCAGGGGAAGGAAAAGTCATAGGAGCTGGGCTGCGGAAGGACTAGATACGACATGGATGGGCAGACAAGCAGGGCACCATAATTATCCCGTTGAGCAAACGCACCGTCTACCATATCAGCCTTTTCCATGTCTCCCTGGGTTCCAGCAATCTTCCCACTGGCCGCCCCTGGGTCAGGGCTCACAATTGTCACCTGTGGAAGAGAGTAGTCAGCCATAGCTCGACAGGTCCCCAGATCCCCTTTGTGGGCCAGAAGCTTCCCAGTATCCCAGGACCCCCCTTACCCCATCTCTGCGGCCACTAACCTGCTCACACTGTCCATAGAGGTCCACAAGTGCATGGCACGGCTGGGGCACATCCGGCACAGCTACCCCCTGGTCCACCCCATTGATGTGGAGATGGAGCCCTCCAGAGCAGTCTAGCCGCAGCCCCAGGATGGTGCCTTCAGGACACGTATCAAGATTTGGCCCGAACTTCTCACAGATCTAAGAGGAAAGGACTACTGTCTTCAGACATCAGGCCCACCATACCAGCAGCCTCCCTACGGTTTCAGTGTTTCTAACTGCCAGTCCTTGAGCTTTGTCTGGATCCATGCCCATGGCCTAGGCTCTGTTCCCATTTCATTTACCTAGAGTCCCCTTTTCACTTCCAACTTTAACATTCTCAATGGCTGGGGCACAGGAGGAAGCAATAAATGGGCCAAAGACTGTCCAGGTAATGACATGCATGTCTCCCTTTTGGCCAGGTCCTCTCTATTTGGAGGCTTGGTCATTCCAGTCTTCCTGGCTCCCTCCTCACCTTCAGACCATTGTGGAAGACACCACGGCCCCGCAGGAGCCAGGCTGCCCGTTTAAGTGCACAAGCAGAGGCAGGGAAGTTAAGCCTCTCAGGTGGGCAGGTGATGACTCCCAGAACGAGAGAAGATGTCCACTGTCGGTTCAGGAAGTCGATCCGCACCTGCATGAGAAGGAACTATATACTCATAGCTTCTAGGACAGAAGCCACCTGCCTAGCTAAATCAGTCTTAGCACCCAAACCGGAGTATGGCTGCCTGGTACAGCACCCTTTCTGATGTTTGTAGAGAACAAAAACTACCAATTCAGATGTCTCCTTCCCTGTTTATCCAGCTGCCAGAAATTGAATCCAGGTCCTAACACATGTTAAATAAATGTTCTACAATGAGCTGCACCCCCAACATCTTTTCTCTTTGAACCCTGGTCTGTTCCTAGACAATTCTTTCAACTGGCTCACTTTCTACCTGCCTTTTAGTTTGCAGCAGAAAGGGCCCCTAATGCTGGGCAGTTGTGGTGCACACCTTTAATCCTAGCACTTGGGAGGCAGAAGTAGGCGGATCTCTGTGTTTGAGGCCAGCTGGTCTACAGCCTGGTCTTCCAGGACAGCCAGGGCTACACAAAGAAACCTTGTCTAAGAAAACAAAAACAGGACAAAACAAAACAAAAAAGGGCCCCTCACCCTGAAGTAACAGGAGCTAGGTAAGAAGAAAGACATACCTGAACAAGCAGGTGGGGTACCAGGGGCTGGTTGATGACAACGATGCCCTGATTGTAGCTAGCCACTCGTGTGGCTGTACGGTTCCCATTGGATAAGAGGATATTCTTCCCATGGTTTTCCAGGAATTCAAGGGCTGTGGGCATAATACCCACTTGATTCTGGCCCTGGTATGGAGCAAG